CAGCAGCTGAATTGGGGAAACCGGGGGCAGAGCAGCTCCAATTGTCCGGCTGCCCGGAGCACTTCTGGGTTCCAGATGGTGCTGGACCATCAGGAGTGCCGGACCACTGGATGCCGGACCACTGGAGTTTTACTGTAATATGCTTAGGGATCTTGCATAGATCCTAGAGCTCATGTGTCTTTGTGGACAGGAGATGGCCTTGTTTAGGGAGAAGGGGTTGAGAGCTTTTAAGATCTGCAAACTAGCACTGGGGTTCTGGAGAGATTCTTCTGGAAGGGCTTTGGAACTGAGAAATGTGTTCGAAGGGTGATTAGTGATATTAATGTTGAGGATGAGTCAATGTGGCCAGTGTGAATCTATTATTCTACAGCACTGTGGATCTGCTCTGTGGAGTGTGAGAGGGCATACGTAGCAATAAGGCTAAGGACAGATAGATCTTTTTGGTTCACGTGAGGGAGTCCTCTCACAATATACTGTTTTGTTCAAGTTTTTATGACAGACTTAAGTTAACTTTCTTCTAACAGTGACTTGCACAAAAAATTTTTTTTTGGTCATCAAGAATCACAAACTCCACAGGGAGAATTCATTAGAAGCACGCATCTTACTCTCGAACACACTTTACCTTTTCTGTTGATATGAGCTGAGGCCAATAGTTGTGTCAGTCTGTAACAGGAATAAAAAAATAGTTAGGATTTCAAAGCTTGATATAAAAAATGTTTTCCATATTTAAAAAATGCAATGCTAATAATTAATAAGAACAATTTTTTTAAAAGACAAAGTTCTGAGTCTCTGCCAACTGTTTACCTACAAATCAAGCAATTAACTCACTATTTAATGAAGTGGGTTTTATCTACAGACGCTCACGATCCTATGTATTTATTAGTCTCAGGTGCCACTGGACTACTCATTTGTTTAACCAAAACACCCTGAAATTCCAGTCAGGAATCAAGCAACCAGTGATGATTCCTGAAATCTTATCAGGAACATGAAACACTAGATGATATGTAGTTCAGAAAGACTGAAAAGAGAGGAGAGAAATTCTAAAAAAAGGGCAACATTATAAGGGACAGAAGGAGAGGAAAATATGGCTATGCTACCTGTTACCAAGAGCTAACCTGGGGATAAGAAATTCTAACACAAAGGTCATTGTTTAAATCAAATGAAAGCCCAACATAAGCTGTAGAAATGGAAAGAAAATACACATAGCAAACAGCATTAAACTTTAAAGTTTAAAAAGCCATCTGTCATATACAGCAGACAACCCCAAAACAAAACTTGTTTGGAGTCCTTTTAAGGGTACAGTCTCAGAAAAGCAAAAGTCTCATTATTGAGACTGTACATTTTTGCTTTATCAATCTCAGTATTTGATGAATGTCACCATTAAACCAGGATGTCAAGAATATGCAATAAAGAGTAATTTTTCTCATGGATCCATAGTTTCAAGAATTTAGGTATTTTTAAAATCCTTTGTTATATAGGACAGCGATTGGTACAAAAATGGGAAGCTAATAGTATGCAAGTCAATGATTTATTTGAAAATTCTATTGCTACACCTGGTACCAGCTGTCAAACTGTTAAAAAAAAACCCACACCACTACCACATACCTGGAAGTATTAAAAAGGCAATAATCTGCCTCCTAAAATTAAATAAGATTGTGCTTTTCAACAACTAGGAATCACTATATTTTATTTTACTATACAGACAGTCCCCGGGTTACATACAAGATAGGAACTGTAGGTTTGTTTTTAAGTTGAATCTGTAAGTAAGTCGGAACTGGTACATATTGTAGGGGAAACTCTAGCCAAACATTTCTCCAGAGCTCAGTTTTATTCTCCCACACCTCACTTCCCTTAGTCCTTTATTCTCAAGCTGAGGTGTCTGCTGAGAAAAGCCGCTCTGCGTCTCCCTGGTCTGCTCGGGGGGAGGCGCTAGCTTCGCGTCTCCCTGGTCTGTTGGTGGGAAGCAGCTAGTGCGGGGTTGCCTCAACCGTTTGTAAGTAGGGATCCGATGCAAGTCGGATCCATGTAACCCGGGGACTGCCTGTACTGCATACTTTGGGATGGTTGACAAATTGAACTACTGCTTACTTTCCTTACCTTTGTACTATACAGCTATCATCTATACTTGCATGATTTATTCTCTCAAAACTAAATCAAACCAAACCTCATGTTATGATGGCTGAAAGGCTCTATGAATTGGTGCATAGCTTACTTAGGCTTAGCTAGAAAATTTTATTGTTGCTGAAAGCCCTGATAGAATCTATGTTCCCCCCTCCCCCTCAGTCACAGATAGAAATCAAAGTACAGGCAGCCCCCGGGTTACGTACAAGATAGGGACTGTAGGTTTGTTCTTAAGTTGAATTTGTATGTAAGTCGGAACTGGTACATATTGTAGGGGAAACTCTAGCCAAACATTTCTCCAGAGCTCAGTTTTATTCTCCCACACCTCACTTCCCTTAGTCCTTTATTCTCAAGCTGAGGTGTCTGCTGAGAAAAGCCGCTCTGCGTCTCCCTGGTCTGCTCGGGGGGAGGCGCTAGCTTCGCGTCTCCCTGGTCTGTTGGTGGGAAGCAGCTAGTGCGGGGTTGCCTCAACCGTTTGTAAGTAGGGATCCGATGCAAGTCGGATCCATGTAACCCGGGGACTGCCTGTACTGCATACTTTGGGATGGTTGACAAATTGAACTACTGCTTACTTTCCTTACCTTTGTACTATACAGCTATCATCTATACTTGCATGATTTATTCTCTCAAAACTAAATCAAACCAAACCTCATGTTATGATGGCTGAAAGGCTCTATGAATTGGTGCATAGCTTACTTAGGCTTAGCTAGAAAATTTTATTGTTGCTGAAAGCCCTGATAGAATCTATGTTCCCCCCTCCCCCTCAGTCACAGATAGAAATCAAAGTACAGGCAGCCCCCGGGTTACGTACAAGATAGGGACTGTAGGTTTGTTCTTAAATTGAATTTGTACGTAAGTCGGGTACCCCAGGTGTCCCCGATTCAGCCACTGCTGAAACTGACCAGCGGCTGACTACAGGAAGCCCGAGGCAGAGCTGCTCTGCCCTTGGCTTCCTGGAATCAGCCGCTGATCAGTTTCAGCAGCAGCCTCCCCCCTCCCTCCCCCAGTTCGTAACTAGGGGTCCGACTTAAGTCGGATTGACGTAATCCAGGGACTGCCTGTACTAACAGAAAACACAATCAGATAAAAGCCTTGGCATCAGGTAAGCAAGGTAAAACATTCCTTCTTAGCCACATCCCACTCTTCCAAGGCTTTTATCTGATGAGTGATATCAGCTAGAACCCTCCCTTGGTCAGCGACTAGGAGGTGTAGAAGAACTCACAGGTCCTTTTCTTCCTCTACTCCTGAGGAAGCACATAAAGCTACCGTTTTCTGTGACTTGCAGTACACTATTACACTAGATATTCAACCCATCTATAAAATCTTCCATTGATCCCTGCCTGGAAGGAAGAAAAATTGTCAACAGCTCAGAAAGCACTTTTGCTTGTCCTAGAGATCTGGGCAACAGAATAGTACTAGTACAAGTTAGGGATGTTAAATATCGGTTAACTGAATAGTTGAGTAACCTCATGAATTTTTATCTGTTATTCTATTTTAGCGACTATTCTATAGTCCTCGGGGCGGGGGCGGCAGCCACTGTAACAGAGGCAACAACGCGGGGTGCCAGGCAGAAGCTGGCCAACAAGGGAGCCAGTTCCCCTTGTGGACCGGCTGCCTGCTGCCCAATGCTGCTGCCTCTGAAAAAGAGGCAGTAGCACAAGGTGGCAGCAGCCCCTGTCTAAGGTTGGAGGGAGGGGGGCACGGTCTGAGCTCCTGAACCCAGTGCGAACCAGAACTGAGCTGGCTCTTAATACACTGTAAATGCAGAGCAGCAGCAGGGGTAGATCCCAGACCTAGCGTGGGCCAGAACTGAGCTGGGCTTCTTAAAAATTTACTGACAAGGGTGGGGGGTGGGAAATGCATGTATTCTATAGCACTAACTTATATGCTTTTGCTTATTGGTTAATTGACTACACGATTACATCCCTAGTTCAAGTACTGTATAAATTCAAATCCATTAAACAGCATCATCAATATTATAATACCTTCAACTCAACTATGTCTGAGTGTTGTTAGCATGACAGACTATCAATAGATGAACTGAAAGAGAGCTTCTTAGTAGGGCTGCTTTCAAACACTTAGTTCCAAGAGTATTTTTTAATACAATTTTGTAGGGATGGCATGGTCTTATCTTCAGCAGGTGGTATCACCAGTTCAGAGCCTATGCCCCTTAGGTCGTCAGGCATCACAGCAGAGCTTGTATCCAGTGGTCACTATGTTTTCTGGGTATCGTGTTTTGGTGCTGTTAGTGCTGAGGTGACCGAATGTGCTGGAGATCGCCTTTAGCTCATCAAGAGCTCAGTTTGAAGGCTTCCTACTCTTTCTAGAGACTCTGCTGGAGTGAATCAGCTGACTTTTTATGCAATTCTCCCTCTCTGGAGATTGAAGGTTCCAGGCATAATTTTTGTCCTGAGGGCTCGGAACCAGGGATCATACACTGGTCTGAAGTCAGTGTGACGGGGCGGACAAGGCTCAGAGGCTCCCTGCTGCAGGCCTCAGGATCCTGCCAAACCCATTTCAGGAAAGGAGCAGTGGAGCTAAGTCCCCCAAGTGACCTAGAGACACTGAAGCAGTAGTCAGTTTCAGCTCTAGATCCCGTATGTGCTTCTCCCAGGCAGCAGATGCAGAAAAGGTGTCTGTCTGCCATGGGAATTGCCTCTCTGCAAGAGAAGCACCTTTTGAAGCTAGGGAAACCAAGCATGTCCCTTTGTGGGTAATCCCACAACAAATGCAGGAATTTTTCATTAATGTTGTGCTATGACGACACTTTTGTATTTTCTGTCCAATTGTGTAAGCAAGGGGTTTTAAAGTGAGGTAAAACTTGGGATACATGAGAAAAAGCAGACTCATGAAAGGGATGAGGTACTCTGGGAAGGTGGAAAGCCAAGACACTGTTCTAATGGTACTGCAAAAAGGAATGGCAACTCTAAAAACTATAAACTAAACGCTATGAATTTTAAGGAGAGAAAGTAAACAAACTGCACAGCTACTTGCTCTGTTACAGGCCAACGGATGTTGAGAAGGAACTAAAGGTGACTTGCCTGTGCAGTGTGAGATAACTGCAAGGCAGAACATGAGAGGGAGGGTACATGAGTAGGCAGAATGGACACTGCAACATAAATTCTTCAATTAGAGGTGCAGGCACACACATACACCTACAGCAGAGCACCCATAGGGACACTACTTAGGAAAAGAATCTTAACTTTCAGTCCCTTGTTTGGATCTTTAGGTGGTGATCCTTTAAACTGCCTCTAAATTGAACAATACAGTGGCTTGGTAAAAACTTGACTAAAACCTCTGAACAATGCCACTAGAGGATTCCTGGGTAGGCCTATGTCCAGCGGCAAGACTGCTGAGAAAGATTTGCCCAATACCACATCCTTGCCAGCCAGCTTCATTGTCACAAGTATTCAGAGCAAATTTTACGATGTCTTTATTCTTCAGCTAGGGTTATAAAAGTACAGGCAGTCCCCGGATTACGTACAAGATAGGGACTGTAGGTTTGTTCTTAAGTTGAATTTGTAGGTAAGTCGGAACTGGCG